TTAAATTTAGATAATGCAGCTGACGGATGGATATATGAAAGTAAAAATATAAACAAGTTGAAGGAAAGTTATAGATACAGGGATCCTTTTACATGGTAGACTTAGAACTTAATGACTCATTCTATTGAACTGAATCACTGGTTAATTCAATGAAATAAGGAAGCTAATGCTTGACAGAATGGAGTATCTGGTTGACTGACTGAGATTATAGGTTATCAATGAGTCAAACTGATAGTCTCACCTACAACCATTTTCAAAAGTTCGACTCTGAAAATTACTGTCCAAAATGTGTTAGCACTACAGCTGGATAAATTGTATTTGGCATGCTATGTAGGAGTGTAGGTAAAATGTGGTAATTGTGTATATACATAATGTACAGAGTAAACCATACAGTGTAGTATAAATTGAACAAACCTGGATTTATGATTATATCACCAGATACTATGATTTTCTTCAAATTAGGACCTGGGAAATAGAAATTAGGTGTGCATTAGAGTGTACTGGGTTGAAAGAAACATCATTACAGTTGCCTTGTATTTTTATGGTATACATTCAGCATGTGCCACAGAAATGGCAGTCAGAAAGATAAATACTTAAAAGAAGAAACTCAGTGTCATGGTCTGTGAGGAAGAGCAATGCTCAGGGTGTGTGCTCCCACAAAGCAAATTAATGTTGCTTTGAAATGAATTAAGTAAATTAATGTTTTAGTTCTCTAAAGAGCCCCAATTTCAAAGTAATTTCCTCCTTCCTCAAACACACAGAATGTAATACTTTTAAAGAGAAGATGCTTAAAAAGTCTTTCTACAACTGTTTTTACTATTAAAAAAAAATGGGAATAAAAGAATAAATGTGATATATATCTATTGGCAAATATGTCAGTTAAAATACAAAAGATAACTTTAATTATTAAAAGACAGTCATTGGATGGGTTAAATAATGGTGTGCTTATAATGGGTCAGCATAATTTAATAATATATTTCACACATACTTCCACATAACTTGATACAAAATATTCTGTAAACATGTTGGTATTCTAGTTCTTTCAAATCATTTGGAACAATTTAGAAAATTTGCCAGTTTTTAATTCTATGAATAATTAATTTCATTCTTTGGTACCAAATATTCAAAATATTATAACCTTTTATAATATTTTGAAAATAAACTGATGTTAATCTTATTTTTCTGAGTCAAATCATAGGTAATAATCTTGTTGCTAAATGTCTTGAAACATCATAGTAAATTTCTTTTCCAAATTTTTCATACTTTTAATCAACTGTATTTCATCTATAGTAATTTCTAACACTAAAACATATTCTCTTTATCTGTAATTCTATATATTTTATCCACTGAGTTCTTTAAAAGAAAACATAATTTTTAAAAATAAAGTAACTATTAATGTTAAATGATAAGTTAATCTTTGAGTTATCATTTTATTATATATTAATGGAATTTTAAAATTTGCAGAAAAATTTATTCTTGTACATAATCAGAATTTCTAACAGCTATTTAACATGCATTTGAGGCTGATAAATGTGTGTGTGTGTGTGTGTGTGTGTGTGTGTGTGTATCACATGGTAAAAAAAAAATGAGAAAAGCCCTGACTGGTGTGGCTTCAGGGGGTGAGTGCTGTCTTGCAAACTGAAAGGTTACCAGTTTGAATCCCACTCAGGGCACATGCCTGGGTTGAGGGTCAGTCTTTGGTTGAGGGCATAAAAGAGACAACTGATCAATGCTTCTCACACATAGATATTTCTCTCCATCTCTTTCTCCCTCCCTTCCCCTCTTTCTAAAAATGAATAAATAAAATCTTTTTAAAATGATGAGTACAGTTGAAATTTTTTAAATAAAACAAAATATTCAAATTTTTGAAAGAGTCTTAAAGGTAATCCATTATGATGCTCTCCTTTCACAGGAAGGGATCTAAGTCCTGTAAAAATTCAATGTTGACCAAACTCATTAGTCTAGTGACGAAGCAGAAGTCAGGATGTCAAACCACAGTGTTTTGCTTTTTCTGAAATCTAACGAGGAGCGAATAATAACAGTGATGTCCTCTTTGAATGGAGTAGGCTTCACAGCATCCCTTCCACAGTCAAGGAGAAGGTCCTGCGATGAGTTACAAGTTAGAAGTGTACTTAGGAGAAAAAGGCTCTGGTGTGAGACACTCACAGAATGAGAAGGCTTCAAAGAGGCTCATTTTCCACCATAACTTTATGAGTTAGAGAAAGAAGCCAAGCATATTTGGAAACGTAATGGAAAATGTCATTCTTCTGTCTTGATAGTGTAAGGAAAGAATATATGATAAAGATAGTGTCACATCCTAACCTACCCTTTTTTATCAAATTATTACCACTAGAATATTTTTGTTTGAGATAAATGCCATTTTAAATCAATCTGTTATAAATTGCTGTCATATTTTTCAAAAATTTCTAAACAGTTCAGTTATCTTTTATAGTTATATGAATGTCATTGAACAAAAACTAAATATCAAATATTTGATTTTTATTATTCTGAGTATTAAATATTTATAAATCTGATTTCATTTTGTTGGTTTATAGTCTTCTAACTGATCTATAGGCATTTAAAATATATTGGAAAATTCAATGTTGTAATAAGTTAGTTTGAGATACATGTAAAAAATAAGTCGAAACAGTTTATATTTTATCTTTATATCAGACCCTTCCCACTCTCTCAAAATTTTTATTAAGAAACTGTTCTGCACACGATAATACCTTAGTTGATAATTTAATTTGTAAGAATTATTAGGTAACATTTAAAACTAGGTTCAGAACTGATTAGGCTTGGGTGCTAATTTTTTGATTTTATCATTGATTTTGAATATTTACTGACATTAAAAGCAATCAAGGATATGCTGATTATATGTGATGTCCTTTACTTTTCTAGCTAAATTATTTGACACTATAAATTCACAATGCCCTGTGAGTACACAGTATTTATTAGTATTTTAGAAACACTACTTTGTATACTGTACCTTTAATATTTAATATATTTAAGTAAATAATTTCTTTAGCATTTTGATACTTATTATTTTTCATATATTCTCATGTCAGGAGCTGGGTATGCAATTTTAATGAGCTTTTCTAATCCCTTTTTTAAAATGGTGTCACATATTTTAATTAATCTCATAATCCAATCTCATCAATCTTTGACCCTCATATAAAGATAGATATGGCTTACTTGTATATGGTCCTTCTTCAATAGAGTGTAAACTCCAATGAACTAACAATATTTCTCATACTTCCACTATTTTATTCTCCAGTGCGCATAAACTAGGTCATGGCCAATTAAAAATGTAATGCTTAATTAACACTTGTTGAGTGAATAAGTGATTGAATGCAGGTTTTCTACCTCTCCTAGATGCCTCTTCCAGCGATTATTTGTATTTTGAGATGGAGTGATCAGAACTTTTTTCAGTGGCTTTCAAGCTTTCTTGATCAGGCCCCACAGAAATAACTTTTATATCCCTGTGTGTGTTTGAAATATTAGTTAACATTATTATCTTCAGTAAACCCTGGTAATTAAATCTCTTTATTTAAAGAATAATACTTGAGTATAGAGGATTTTTAGAACAGTGAAAACACTCAATATAATACCATGATTATGAATATGTGTTATTTTATATATATATATATATATATATATATGCCCATAAAATGAACAAAACCAAAAGGCACAAACTGTAATGTAACCTTTATATATACCATAAGTAACCACGAATGCCATCAGGTAAATTTGGGGCTTTTAGGGTGTTTTTATGTAGGTCTATCAACTGTAACAAGTGTCCCTCACTGATAGTGATATTGATTACAGGAGAGGCTATACATGTGTGGACACAGAAGGTATATGGGAAATGTATACATCCCACCCAATTTTGCTGTGAACGTAAAACTGCTCTAAAATATAAAGTATTAATAAAAAAGAATAATAATGTTGGTCTTGAAATTGATTTCATAACCCACAAAAAGACAGTTTGTGAAACATTGTTTTAGACAAAAACGATGAGAGATGAACTATATTAATCTTTGAGTAAGTAGAAAGGACACATGTGTCCTAGTAAGCATTGGATGGTGCAATTGTCAAGTCTGAGTTTTTCTGAACTTTCTACCCTTATCAGCCACTATAGGTGTACATCACTTACTTCTCATACCTCAGACTTTCAGAAGCTAGAAGGCCTGAAAGAAAATGGTAAATGTTCTTTCTAAATCTCACGGGTGAGCAGCTGAGAAATTTTGAAATTTGGACTTGGATTCAGCCACAAATAAAACAATATAATAAAATTATGTCATGAAATTCTCACCAGAACCAAACAAAGAGGAGGTGGGGGTGGGGCATATAAAATAGCCTTGAGAATTTACTGTACATGCACTTCACCCCATGGGCCCATGACTACTGGAGCCCCAGGAGCTAGGAAGAACGGACTGCTGTTCTCCCTGAGAAATTAACCTTGATTCAGCTAAGGTCATACATACTCGTTGAAGTTCAAAGGAAAACACAGAATTGAGCTCCTTTGCAAGTGCATTTTTCCACTTTTTCAGAGTGAAATCTTGGTTAAGTAGAACTAGTCAAGATTTATTGCAAACTAAACACTTCCAACTGCAGCCCCCTCCCCAAACCCCAGTATCACCATGACATGAGCTGTATCTTGTGGGTAAAGGAGCCAGGAAGAAGCGCCGCACCGGAGAAGCCTTGGGATTCTACCTTCTCCCGTTTCCTCCTGGCCACCTTGTTCTCTGCTCCCTTTCTGATCTAACCTCTAGGGTTAAGCACAGGGTGTTGGGAAGAGTCCTGGCCCACTGTCAAACCCGGCAGCTTCACTTGCAGAGCGGGTCTCAGCCTGGCTGGAGAAGCTGGGCTGCTACTGCAGCCGAGAGTCGAGTGAGCGCAGCGCTGGGGTGCAGGAGGCGGCTGCTTCACTATCCAGCCTTGGAACGCTAGCCGTCTGCCCCCTGCAGCCTGTGCTGCAGCCGCTGGCCACCGGAGGGGGCGAACAAACGTCAACCTGTTGTTTGTCCCGTCACCATTTATCAACTCTCAACACTACAAGGAAGTGCGGCACCCACACGTGCTCAGAAAGTTCAGCATGCAGGAAGTTTGGGAGAGCTAGGCGATTAGCACAGCAGCCGGGCCAGCGCTGGGCGAGCGCAGGCGGCAGAAGCGTGGCGCCTCTCGGTGCAGCGTCAGTCCCCGGAGCTTCTCCCGGATTTTTCTTAGAGCCTCAGTGTCCCTCGGTCACCGATCCCCAATGCACCGGCTCATCCTCGTCTGCACTCTAGTCTGCGCAAACTTTTTCAGCTATCGGGACACTTCTGCAGCTCCACAGAGCGCCTCCATCAAAGCTTTGCGCAACGCCAACCTCAGACGAGATGGTAAGAGGCTCAGATTTTATTTTTTTAATTCGAAAAAATAAATTTTTGTTGTCATTGACTCTCCACCCCCCCCACACCCCACCCTACCCCCATCTATCTTCTCTCTCCAAATCTTTCATGTGGTGAATGTATTGTGCTGGAGAGATTCCTGCCTGTCCGCAGTCCTGAGAGAGCCGCTTTTTCCGGAATGGGACTGAGAGGTGTAGGATGCACGCTGCAGGGGGTCCAGTGGGTCAGGTGGCTCATCTCCATACACTCCAGAGAAGTCATTTTGGTGTCCAATAGTCACTGATACCAGAACCACGGAGTTACGGAAAGTTGCAGGCTGCGCCGCCCATCGGTCAAGCTCTTAACCTTTTGAACTTGAAAGTTGGATAGATGGGGCATTTATAATAAATAGGTGGAGGGACTCGAGAGTGACTTTCTCTGGGTGATTTATTTTAATTCTTATTTTTTAGTGGGAGGAGAAAGAATGGTACATTTCAGTCTCTCAGTCACTTCTGGGACAGAGCAACAGCTATATAGTATTTATTTTGAGGAGATGGCTATGTGCAGCATGTTGCCCCTTCTGTCCCCAAGGTGACTTTCCCACTGGCGTTCAAAGTGGCTCAGAAACTCAGAGTCTGAGAGCATATGGATTATAGGGTACCATGTGTACCACAGGGGTACTGGGTTTCTGCTATTAGTTTTCTTACGCAGAAGGCTTTCCAACTGTTTGCAAAAAGCAAAGCTCTTTAAACATCTATTCTAAGCAAGGTCCCAAGCAGGCTTGTTTGCTTTCCTTCATTCCAGAGAACACCTGGGTCATCGGGTCCCAGAGATTTTAATTGAGTTTACTTATTTTCTGGGCCTCCACCAAGATCTGAAGTTGATTTATTTCTCAATTCTCAACTACAGCTGATGTTGCCAGTATTTCGCAGCTGTTTCTGTCACCTACCTGAACTGACCTATAGACTTTTGTATTTTTCCTCTCTTCCTCTGCTCACTTAAAGTTTTAACACATCCCCTAAGGAGATTGCCAAGCTAATCTTAATAGAGTCACTGTTTGAGCTGGCAATGTTTGACTGTTCTCTGGTAAAGTCATATTAGCCACCTTATTCCCTTACCAGTTTCTTTCTTGGTATGTCCTTAACTTGGACTTCACTGAAAGGCTTTTGAACTTTGAAACAAATGAACAGAAAAAACTTCATTATATTTTCTGCTGACAAGTGGACTATGGGTTTCAGTATGTCCAAGTCATCTGAAGTGGCATATGTGTGAGGAGCCTGTAGGAGGCCATAGAGTCAACTCCTGACCAGAAGATCCCCCTGTTTTGTAGAATTACTTTATTACGGTGCCTTTCTTATAACTTTCCAAGTTAGTTAAAGCACAAAATATTCTTATTAAACTTTAAAAAAAAGTTTTAGGCTCAAGAACAATGTTTTATAGTTTTGTTCCTTTTGGAAACAGTAATGAGTTTCCAAAAGGAACAGTCTTCTAGCTGAGTTTTAGTTTTGTTAATGTTTGCACTTTATATGCCCTTTCGGCTGCATAGAGTAAAATGCCATTTATAATTTGCATGACTTCATAGCCATAATTTTGTAATCTTTGGCCTCTCAGTATCAGTTACCAGAAGTCAAGGACAGAATATGAAAAGTATGTAACCATTGCCCATTAACCCAAAATTTCAACTAAAACCAAATCATACAGTTCATAATATTTGGGGGGGGGAATAATCACATTTTATTTTTCTGTGTAAAAACTCTATCTAATCTATATGACAAATGACTTGTTTTATCAAAATTCTTAAAACTATGCTGGATTTATTTCTTCATATTTTAGCTAAGGCCCTTTTACAATTATTCTAACAGTAGGCACACATATATATACACATCGATTAGATTGTTTGATACTTTTCTAAATGTCAGTCTCTTCCTATAAATAAGACTAGGAAAGGGGAAAAGATAGTTTACTTAAAAGAAAATTGTTATATGCAGATTGAAAATTTTGACCCTCACAATGTGTGGTTATCTTGGGGAATCTTCAAACAGTATCTTAAGTGTTATAGAGCATGCGTCTCAAAGAGAGGCAAGATTGCCCCACAGGGTCAAAATTGGATCTTAGGAGGTGAAAAAAATTTTTGATATTACAATGATTTGTGGTCCTCCTAAGGGCCAGTACATGCAAACAGATTAACAGCCTATCTGTATTGTTAATATTTCATAGGGAATGGACATGACTAGGGGAAAAAAATCTAAAAAGACTCCTTAAATGGAGATGGACAATAATGTAAAAATTTGAGGAACATTCCCATAGAGTTTGGATGAGAAAGTAAAAATAGAGGGTCTTTGAAAAAGTCTAGACATTGTCTGGAAAAATCTTAATAATGTCAGTTGAGCTGACAAGAGAAAGTAACATTAAATTAAACCTTTGTTCTGATTCCAGACGTTTTCAACTTGTCCAAAAGTTTCCTAATGCCTCATTAATAAGTCCATATTCTCAATCTTTTGACTATCAGATTAAGGTAGAGAATAAGCTTGGGAAGGGCATCGACATGGAATATAATGAGGGGAAATATATTAGGGTCTCTAGATGATCTGGCCCTCAGATTTAAAATGGTAAAAAAAAAAAGACCCACAACAACAAAAACTTAGACATGACCCTTGAATAAGGGGTTTTAGAAACCATTACCTAATGCTGGGACTATCATTGCACTTGAGTGCCATTGATTTCTCCCTGCTGACCCTGTTAGCTACTTCCTAGTGTCAGGGTGAAGAAAGGAACAAAGAAGGCAGGCATATTGTCCTGGGCCTGAGGTGGGGTGGATCCTGTCCCACTTGATGACAAAAAACATCTTCTTTTTGACCTGCCCATACTTAATAGTGCCAAATAACTGGAGTAGCTAAGAAATGATACAGAAATAAAGTGTAAGGTTGATAAATAATATAGTCTCCTTCTATCCAGTGTAGCAGGCTGGTCTACTGATGCCTCTTGGCCTTCCTAAGCTCTTCATTATATTATATAGTGGACCCTTGAACAACTTGGGTGTTAGGATTGTCAACCCTGCATCAGTCAAAAATCTGAATATAACTGATGATTCCCCAAAACCTTAACTACTAATAGCATCTCATTGGCTGGAAGCCTTACCAATAACATAAACAACCAATCAACACAAGTTTTGCATTATATGTATTATATTCTGTATTTTTACAATAAAGTAAGCTAGATAAAATTATTAAAAATTATTAGGAAGGGAAAACAGATTTACAGTATTTTTTAACATTTTTATTTATTCATTTTTATTTATTCATTTTTAGAGAGAGGAGACATGAAGGAGAGTGAGAGGGAGAGAAATATCAGTGTGTGGTTGCCTCTCACATGCCCCCTACTGGGGACCTGACCTGCAACCCAGGCATGAGCCCTGTCTAGGTATCGAACTGGTGACCCTTTGGTTTACAGCCCACTCTCATTCCACTGAGCTATACCAGCCAGGGCAGATTTACAGTATTTAATGACAAAACTCCTTGTATAAGTGGACCCATGTTGTTCAAGGGTCAACTGTTTCTTGTTCTAAAAGGAACATCTGTAGAGCCCTTCTCAACACCTACACAATAGCTGAAGCTACCCAGTGGAGGACAGTGGTTGAATTTGGTTTCTGTATCCAAGAGGAAACTAAGTTCTGTAGCTAAGAGGATTACAATTAGTTTGCAGTAATTCATTGATATTTGTACTTCCTTATATCATATTTATAATTTTTCCTCAAACTAATTTACTTTTTATATCTTTTTCTTCATTCATCTCTCAGCACAGAGAAAAAGACCTTCATTTGGCAAAGCAACCACATATGAGCACATATTCTTATTTTAGTGCCTGTGAACTTGGTTGTTATAATAAAAACTGGCCAGAACTGGTATTGCTCAGAGTGTGGATCATGAAGTATAAAGGTAGTAATTAACCGACAGCATTACTTACTTATTTTAAAATCAAACTAGAGAGAACTTTCTGCTTAGGGGTTTAAAAATACAAAATTGCTCTTCACTTTCTTGACCTATTATTGCTTCTAGAAACTACAGGTGTTGGATTTTTTAATATTCTAATGTTTGAATCATCTTCACATTATCATTATCTAGTGACAGGCCTGCAATTTTAGTGATTGAGGTCTTAGATTTTTAAGTACTCAAACTTGTTTCTTAAATAACTTGGGTTTCTATTATCCTTATTGAGGACAGCACATAGACTTTGAGGCAAGGATCAAAGCTTAAAGGGAAGAGATAAAACAGAGGACAATATAAACAAATTAAAGTATCTGAAAGCTAAGAATCAGATTAGTGTATAAATGATATGTTCTGTTGTGTTTGCATTTCTGTTCAAGCCTAAGGGTATTAAAGCCTCATAATCTCATGGAGCATAGTGGTGATGACATATTTTAAATGCAACAGAGTTTTGACTTTCCATCGTAGGTTACACTGTCTACTAGAGGTTCTTCTAAAAAGGCTGGCTCAGCCAGGTGTCCATACATCGTATAACAGAAGATGCCAGTAGGTTGTGAGTTATAGTAATGACCATACTGTATTTGTTGAATAACAGTGATTTTTGTCTACAAGATTTTCCCTTTCAGTGAATGAAAGCAAAAATTCATTGTTTCGTAACAGTAGGGTCAGACTGTGGAGCTATGTCCCCAGAGTTACTGCACCTAATGGCCACCATAAGCATGCTATTACAAAGGGCTCTTAAGCATTATTCTATGAGTCTGGAATGATATGCATATTTATGTCACTGTCCCGGAGAGTTGAGTCATAATGCAAATCATTTTCCTTCTGGAACTGATTGTTAAGCTTTCTTTGCTAAATGATCTGATTAGCATAAAAAGTCACTTCCTGAACACCTTAATAAAAATTTTTTGTGTGTTTAAATAAGAACATCTTCTAAGCAAACAAGTGTAGGATGTTTCTAACTCTTGTATGCCACGTCATTTCTGTAGTGCACTGGTCTTTACAAAAGATCAGGATGGCTTTTGAGAA